AAATTGGGCTGAGCCCGTATACTCGCCGAAATTTTGGGGGGTCTGCTAGAGTTGCTCTTACATCGGTTTTCACGTTCTGCATTGCCCGGGCTTCACTGCCCAATCTCGGCTCTTCTTGGCTCTCTGCGTCTAGCCGTCTCGCTGGGAATCTTCGCTCGACGGCTTGCCCGGGAGCTGCGTTCCAGGGCTTCATTCAGGAATACCTGTTCTCCTTCGTTGCCCCATCTGGCTTTAATGTTCCGGTCGCTCTGGCTATCCCCTTTCCCTCGGTTCGATCACTGCAACCTCTCACTGCTCGCCGGTGCACTTAAATTACTGATTGGCTCGCCCCGAGCCAATTTTCGCGTTGTCCCCTATGGTGATTTCAACTTCCAAAGACATCAGAAACAACTACAAAGATATTGTTGGGGAACGTTGCATGGGAAACAAATTTTTTCCTATGGTCACCAAGATTAGATCTACATACCATTGTAGATCACTAAGCGGAAGCGTTAAGAAACGCGGTTAATGTAGTCGAACGTCTTCACGATCCAATCACGATCCGTCCCACGAACTCCCGATCAAGTGCTGAACGGACGACACGTCCATGTTGAGCACACGTGCGGCTCAGCTCGATGAAATCTCCTCCTTGATCCAGAAAGAGAGGGAGGAGAAGTTGATGGGATCTCAACCAGCGGCGTGGTGGAGATGGTGGTGGAGCAATCCCAGTATGACTTCACCAAGCTCTACCGTATATGCGATCTGAGGAGAAAACAGAGTAATGGGAGAGGTAGGGCTGCCTCCAGGGCGTGGGAATTTATGTGTACAGCCCCCACGCCCCTCCCCACTATATATAGGAGTGTGGGAGGCCTGGGGGTGCAGCCTTAGCCCTTCTTCCAAGGAGAGGAGACAGGGGAGGAGTGCCCTCCAAGTCACACCGATCTAGCATGTAACACATCATATCACTTTGCGGCCTCACGCACGGTATTCCCACGGGTGCCACCTTACCTGGCCCGGGACCGTTTGCGCCTTTTGGCTCACGTATATGATAGTGTTGCTAGCATCCATATGACAAAGAACCCGAGCAGACATGACTAGTCATAAACCCAAGGTGGCGCTAACTTACAGGAACATGCATACATGACCCAGCAACGAACATGTCGATCAACAACGTATGAACCCAAGTCGTAGCAAGCTACAAGGACTTAAAGGAGCAACGTGTGACATTTCCCCGAAGGGACACACACAGAAATGAAGAAGGACACATGCCGGCCAACCTAAGTGTTCCGGAGCAGTAGCAAGCTACCATGGCTCAGTGGAAGCACTAGAAGACATTTTCCAGTAAGAGAGGCTACCAAGAATAAACAACTAGGTTGTCGGACCCACACATACCAAGCATTTCAATAACATACACACAATATGCTCGATATGTGCAAATACAACATGGCATCACAACAAAACTCTACGAATCAAAGTATTTATTCATTAGGCTCAGAGGAGCCAAGTATTACAAACATGGGTCTCATGACCCAACATTCAGAGCATACAAACAATGGAAGCATAACATGTCTGAGTACAGACAACTACAAATGAAAAGGGCTAAGAAGCCTGACTATCTACAAGATCCTCCCAAGGGTACAAGATCGTAGCTGAGGTAACAAGCTAAACGTTGAAGTCCACGCGGAACTACTAGTGAGACTGGAGTCTCTCTACAAAAACATAAATTAAGCAAATGTGAGTACAAATGTACCCAGCAAGACTTACATCAGAACCACTGAAAGCACAAGTGCTCCCTAGGTGGTTTTGGTAATTAATGACAACATATCTCTTGTTGGACTAACACTTTTATCTAGTATATTTCAGACAAGTTCAACAATGGAGTGGCATGGACTAAAGGATGTGGGAACTCCTTCAAGATGCTAAGGACAAAGGATTGGCTCAAGCTTCAAGCTCAAGACTCTTCATTTTACATTTTAGTGGTCCAAGATCACATTGAGTCTATAGGAAAAGCCAATACTATCAAGGAGGGATGAGGTGTTGCTTAATGAGCCTCTTGCTTCATGTGCTTAGTGATATGCTCCAAAACCCTCAACTACTTTCCCACTTCCACAAATGACCTAAAACCCAAAGCCAAAATCGGTCACACCGATTCTTCCTATCCGGCGCCACCGATTCCATAAGTCATAGCCACTGCCACAAACCCTAAGCAAATCGGTCTTACCGATAGGGATCTCGGTCTCACCGAGATGGGATTGTAATCTCTCTGTGTATGTCCATTATCAAAATCGGTCTCACCGATTTTGAGCAATCGGTACTACCGAGATTACAATGCAAACTCTCTGGAAAACTTATTACCAAAATTGGTCTCACCGAGTTTGATTAATCGGTCCCACCGAGTTTGCCTGACCAACTCTCTGGAAAGCTTATTACCAAAATCGGTCTCACCGAGTTTGCGTAATCGGTCTTACCGAGATTACGTTATGCCCTAACCCTAACCATATCGGTCTCACCGAGTTGCATTTCGGTCCCACCGAAAACCCTAACGGTCACATTATTTGCTAAATCGGTCTGACCGAGTTTAACGATTCGGTCCCACCGAGTTTGGTAGATTGTGTGTAACGGTTAGATTTTGTGTGGAGGCTATATATACCCCTCCACCTCCTCTTCATTCGTGGAGAGAGCCATCAGACTGAACCTACACTTCCAGCATACATTTTCTGAGAGAGAACTACCTACTCATGTGTTGAGGCCAAGATATTCCATTCCTACCATATGAATCTTGATCTCTAGCCTTCCCCAAGTTGCTTTCCACTCAAATCTTCTTTCCACCAGATCCAAACCCATTGAGAGAGAGTTGAGTGTTGGGGAGACTATCATTTGAAGCACAAGAGCAAGGAGTTCATCATCAACGCACCATTTGTTACTTCTTGGAGAGTGGTGTCTCCTAGATTGGCTAGGTGTCACTTGGGAGCCTCCGACAAGATTGTGGAGTTGAACCAAGGAGTTTGTAAGGGCAAGGAGATCGCCTACTTCGTGAAGATCTACCGCTAGTGAGGCAAGTCCTTCGTGGGCGACGGCCATGGTGGGATAGACAAGGTTGCTTCTTCGTGGACCCTTCGTGGGTGGAGCCCTCCATGGACTCGCGCAGCCGTTACCCTTCGTGGGTTGAAGTCTCCATCAACGTGGATGTACGATAGCACCACCTATCGGAACCACGCCAAAAACATCCGTGTCTCCAATTGCGTTTGAATCCTCCAAACCCTTCCCTTTACTTTCTTGCAAGTTGCATGCTTTACTTTCCGCTGCTCATATACTCTTTGCATGCTTGCTTAATATGTATTGTGATTGTTGAAATTGTGCCTAATCTCCACTTAAACTTTAAGAAACTTAAAAACTGCAACTTTGGTACCTAGTGTCTAATCACCCCCCTCTAGACACCTCTTCTCAAGGTCCTACAAGTGGTATTAGAGCATTGGTCTCCATTGCTTTGGTTTAATCACCATTGGAGGAAGATGGATGAGTCTACTATTGGGAGT